TTGATACAATATTGTTGATCAATTATGTTTGATTGTTGAAGCATGTCCTTACTTGCATGATATCTATCCATGATTGGTGTTTGTTTATGATTAATTGCATTCAAGCGTGCTTGTTGCCCTACTTTCCAGATCTGTGGTTATTCTGAATTTGCATGTTGTATTTGCCTTGCTTACTTGATGCCTACTTTTTACACCTGCTTTTGTGCCGAAACATGTGTTGTTATAGGTTGTCTTGCTTGTGTGTTGGATTTTGTTGCTGTTTGTGCAAGAGGCGTTGTTGTAGCTGCTGTTTTTGCCTTGCTTTCTTGCTTTTTGCTTTGCATGTTCCCTTAGGATTCTTATTCTAATTTAATTTCCGATTATACTTGGAGTAGGATAGACACTAGGATTGCAATCCGAGCATGATAACATTAAGCTAGTCCATTTTAATCTCAACCTTAGGTCCATCTTTTGCATGCTAACATTAGGATAGAATCTTCTTTCGCATCTCAATCTTAGGACCACTTTGCATGACAACGTTAGGGACGAGTTTCTGTTAGACCTTTTGTGCGTCTCTCTTCTCATCTCAAAACAATTCTAACTCATCTAATAAATACGATGAACGTTGTGCGTCACGAGCCTTAAGCACGTGGGAAATAATGAGTGAGGGGTCTCCTCTCGCTTGTCTAGAGCGTTTAGTGTACTGCCCATCTGAGGGCAATATGCGACGCATTCGCTCCTATGTCATAGTCTTTAGTGCAACGTGAATCACAAAGTAAACTAATTCACTTCACTAAAACTCATAAACAAAATTCAAACCTTGTTATTCTTCGAAATTTGTGTTTCAAACTCATTTTCAGAAAAGAGTACGTTACTTTTCCGTTCTACCGCAAACAGACATCGACCCTAACTGCGGCAATGGGAATTTAACGTCGCTCTAAAAAAACACTTAACCAACCTGCGGTTTAGTTACCCGAACTACATTTGCTCTGATTTCTCATACTAGATGAGGATAAGTAGGCACAAGATGGCGATGTCTTGGCGAGCAACCTTCCCCCCATCACCCGTCGTGTTCCGAACTACGTTGACTCTGACTTTTCCATTGCACGAGGGAATACGTAGGCATAGGGCGATGATGTTCTATCGAGTCTCTTTCTTTTTTCTTTTGTTCTCGTTTCCGTTTAGCAGTAGCTTATAGATAAACACACCCTTTGATTAAACAACAAGCGTGGATTCCGTTGAGTACAACGGACGTGAGGGGTGTTAATACCTTCCCCCTGCGTAACCGACTCCCGAACCCAAGATTTGGTTGCGATAACCTTGTCTTCTCCTTTCTTTTAGGTTTTTTCCGATTGTTTCCTTTCCCTCGCTTTGGGATAAATAACGTTCAGTGGCGACTCTTCTGTTTTTTCTGCTGGGTGTTTTTCGCAGTTGCGACAGGCCTAAGCAAGGAAGTATTGGGTTCGTGGAATCTAAGCAAGAAGTCTCGAGAGCTTGAGCAGAAGTCTTGGACCTTGGCTCTCAACAATTGTAAAAGTCTTATGCAAAATGCATAAGCTATAGTGAAAACTCTTATGAAGCAAGTGCACTGAACTACTCTCAGTTTGAGAGGAATCAATATAAATCTTTGTGTCTTCTGCTATTATTTATTTGCTTCTGTTAACAATCTGCTTCTAAGAATTAACCAGAATCTGAACACTAGTTTAGATGCTGAACTCTGATCAGATGCAAACTAAGAAAACAGAAAACACAATTCAACCTCCTTTTTTTTGTGTACTTTTCTCACCTTCAACCCTAATTTATCGCACTAGCACACGTGTCAGAAGAAGACGACAAAACATTTCAATGATGGAAATACATATAATGTGCTTGTTTTCAACTACTTTTTCAACTTACTCTAAACGTTTCAAGTCTAGCTCACCTTGGATAACGTCTTAGATGTCCTCTAAAATTACTAAAGGCTTCCCTGACTCAATCAGTTATCGGCAAAGCCTTCAGGGGAAATTCTTATATGTCGGCCAAAGACTCCATTCATCTCAAATCCAGTCCACCCGTTCCAAGGTATAAAAAGTGTGTTCACATAAAAAGTAAAGTACACTCTCTTATCTCTATATTTTTACTACACACTTCTTAGGGATTGGCCAAGACTTTTTAGAGACTTAGGGTTAATAATAAAAATAGACCCCTAATTAAAAAAATGAACAACTAACATTAAATTTAGATTATATAATAATTTTTTAATTATTTAATTATGAAAATAAATATTAATTAAATTTTACATTAAAGATTAATGATTAAAAAATAATTATATATAAATAAAAAAGCGCATACGAGTAAAGAATTTTGATCATGGTAAAACTTGCATTTTACAATTACATGAATTCAATTTCGTTTGACATTATTTTTTTATAATTTTATTTAAAAAATTACTTAAAATTATAAATGTTGTGGTCAAGGTTCGAACATGCGATATATATATATATATATATATATATATATATATATATATATATATATATATATATATATATATATATATATATATATATATATATATATATATATATATATATATATATATATATATATATATATATATATATATATATATATATATATATATATATATATATATGTATAAGGACATATCAAGTGAGATGAATTTTAAAATGAAAAATGAGAGGAACAAACAACGACCATTAGATCATGATTAAATTTATTTATTAATGTGACTATTAATATCTCTCTCTCTCTCTCTCTCTCTCTCTCTCTCTCTCTCTCTCTCTCTCTCTCTCTCTCTCTATATATATATATATATATATATATATATATATATATATATATATATATATATATATATATATATATATATATATATATATATATATATATATATATATATATATATATATATATATATATATATATATATATATATATATATATATATATATATATATATATATATATATATATATATATATATATATATATATATATATATATATATATATATATATATATATATATATATATATATATATATATATATATATATATATATATATATATATATATATATATATATATATATATATATATATATATATATATATATTACAAACTCATTATTTAAATTTTTTCAAAATATTACATTCAAATAAAATGACTAATTCAAACACATTCTTAATATATATATTGTGGTCAAGGTTGGAACATGCGATATATATATATATATATATATATATATATATATATATATATATATATATATATATATATATATATATATATATATATATATATATATATATATATATATATATATATATATATATATATATATATATATATATATATATATATATATATATATATATATATATATATATTATATATATATATATATATATATATATATATATATATATATATATATATATATATATATATATATATATATATATATATATATATATATATATATATATATATATATATATATATATATATATATATATATATATATATATATATATATATATATATATATATATATATATATATATATATATATATATATATATATATATATATATATATATATATATATATATATATATATATATTACAATTTAATTTACAAACCCATCGATTTAAATTTTTTCAAAATATTACATTCATTAAAATAAAATTACTAATTCAAACACATTCTTAATATCTCTTTTTGAAATTAACAAAAAATAATATTGTAAAATCGTATATATTCTTTTCTTATATATAGAAGTTAATTGTGTTTTGTTAATTTGTGTAAAAGAACCAAAAATATCTTATAAATTAAAATGTAGAGAGCCGTAAAAAAAAAATCCACATGTTTGAAACGAACTGAAACTAGGGAAAAATAATAAATATTATTATCTTAGTCAGTAATAGATATTTTGACGAAAAATTGTAGTAGATATTATTATCTCATTCAATAATAGATATTTTGACAAAAATAAAACTAGTCACACACATAAACCACTTGAATTTTATTTGACAAAATAATACACAGGAATGCATACGTATGCGAACGCTTTATTTCCATATTAAGTTTGATATGATCCCTTTAGAAATGCTTTCTACACTCCATATACGGAAAAATATTCTAAATACAAATAAAAATAAAGAGAGAAACAAATGAACTATAAACATGTGGACGTTATAGTTCCAAATAAAGATGTGGCTGTAAGAGAAGAACTTAGTTTTCCGTGTCCATTACTCAAGCCTGCGTCCCTTTCCGAAAAGTGAGTTCAAGGTTAAAAAAGGAAAAGAAAAAATGCCTGTCAACTCAACTGGATATAATAATTGAATATCAGATAGCTACTCCTACTACTTACACAATTTCAAATTCACGTGATATATATCAAAATAAAAACATCATACTTATGCGATAGATAATGTATATATTTATATTTTTACTTTTTTTATTTTTACTAACTTACACGCATTTCAAAAATAAATAAATAATATTTTAATAAAAATAATACTTAATTACAATAATACTATTTTTTTACTAACATTCTACTAGTTTTATAAATTATAAAAGAAATTAGGAGCTTTCTTTTTTACTATAAGAAGCATATTCCTATGATTGTTTTAATTACCTTATTTAGTCGAGTCTGTCCAGGAATAAAAACATCATTTAGTATCATAGAAGATATTTTGATAAAAAAATCATTACTCTTTATGAAGAGTCTGGTGTAGGGTCATTCTTCTCATTACTTTCCCTTTCTCTTTTCCAAATATAACCCATCACAAGACAAACCAGCTGTCTCATTATACATGTAAAATATCTAAACTCACTCACTCACACAAAACATCACACACTCACACTCTCACACTATTACCTCTTTCCTTCAACTTCAACCATGGTTCCCTATATATACAACACCTTACTCTTCACAATCTTTACACCAGTTCTATTTTCAGTCCCCAATTTCTCTATCAATACCTTTTTCTATTGTCCCCATCACAAAAATATGTTTCCAACTAACATCTCTTCCACTTCACAGCCCAGTTCCTCAAAACCTTCCACTTCCTCCAACACGACATTGCCAAATTTAGAGGTCGCTCATGACATGTCAGTTTTCAACGAGGAACTGCGGTTAGCTGCTAGCACACCAAAGAAGCGTGCCGGGAGGAAGAAGTTCAAGGAGACTCGCCACCCTGTGTATAGGGGTGTAAGGAGGAGGAACTTAGATAAATGGGTCTGTGAAATGAGAGAGCCAAACAAGAAGACTAAAATTTGGCTAGGAACTTTTCCAACAGCCGAGATGGCAGCCCGAGCTCACGATGTTGCAGCATTGGCATTGAGAGGTCGTTACGCCTGTCTCAACTTTGCAGATTCGGCGTGGCGACTCCCCGTTCCTGCCACTACCGAGACAAAAGATATACAAAAGGCAGCTGCACGAGCCGCCGAAGCTTTCAGACCATATAACAAGACTTTAGAATCAGACGAGGCTTTTAGACCAGACAAGACTTTAGAACTAGACGAGGCTTTCGAACCAAATAAGACTTTAACGACTAATGACATTGACACGACAGTAGCTTCTGCCACAGAAGAGCAACTTATGTTTCGTATGGAAGAGGAAGAAGAAGAGAAAGAGCTGAGCATTCCAGAAATGCTAAAGAATATGGCATTAATGTCGCCAACACATAGCTTGGGACATGAGGATGAACATAATGAAGCAGACTTTGAAGACGTTGAGGTGTCACTATGGAGTTTTTCAATTTGATTTATCTGTATTCTTTATAATATAAAGTTCACTTTATTTTTGGATTTCAGAATGGAAGATTGTCTGTCCTATGCTATTTTATTATTATTGTGCAACAGATAATCTATTTATGTGGAATTAAAAATTATATTTTTTTTCATAGCTTTTATGAGAATGTAACTAATAAGGTATAAAGTGCATCTCTAATCCTTTTTTTAGTATTTTCTATAAAAGGATACAAATATAAATCAACAAAAGACTACACAAGTATCACATCATAGTCATGATCATTTCAATCAAAAGGACTCACAAATGCCTATTATCCAACATCTAATTCCCTAACCAGTTCAAAAAATATAAAAGAATAATCAATATTTCATAATTTCTCAGATCCAACCAGACAATATAGTAATTCATACTGATTTTAGAATCAAATTTCAATCTTTGCAGATCTAAGTATGAAGAAGCTGTCAAACAAGAAGATAGAGTAATCCAAAAGCATCAACAAAAAACCAAAACCTAATCAGAAATTAAATGTAAAACTAACCAAAATCAGAATTGAGAACAAAATCAAAGTGAAAATGAATAACTAATGTCTACTAATTTTGAAATACAAACGGAGAAGAAGAGAATTAAAATTTAGGGTTTTAAACAAAAAAAAAATAGGGATTCTCTGTCCTAAAAGAATGAACTGAACAAAATAAAGCAAGATGAAACTTACTCTTAGTGGAGAAGAAGACGACGTCGATGGCGTGAGAGCTCCGGCACGGTAGCTCCGTCGAAAAAGCCTGGTTCGAAGTAAAAATGATAAAATGAGAATTGGGAAGAAGAAGTGAAAAGTGAAAGTGGAAAGAGAAAGTGTTGTATAGAATACACGTGGAGAATAAAAATTAGAGTGAAAAAATAAAAAATAATTGGCAGGGTGCAGAACTTTACGCGGGAGGGGAAAGAAAACGAGTGGAAGGAATAAGAAATTGTCTCATAAAACCCGTGTTTGTTGTAAGAGAAACTTACGCGACAGAAGTAGGAGCCACAAAATAAGTGAAAATTGGAATGCGGTGTCTTTTTGAATAATTGGAATACTCATGTGTCAGTTTTTTTTATTTTTTTTATTTCAGTTATCTTTTTTTATTGAATTAACGTTAAAATTTTTATAGATATTTCAACTAAATCAAACAACATTTATATATTTTAATACCTATATATTTTTTATTAATATAATATATTGTATTAATTTATTATTCGTTGGTATTTAGTTATTTTAATTTATTATTTGTATTTGTGGTAAATACAATGAAGAGAATCTTACTTGGATAGGAGCAAATAATAGAATCTTTTGTGCTTAATCTATGAAAGGTGACTATCTCCCTTTAGCCATATGATTAAAGTATTTATAAACACTAAACCTATGAGTAAATTAGTTATCTCGTTCGCCTAGACACTGGGTTGAAATGTCTGAATAAGAAAATCATTACTCTTACTTAGTATGAAAAGCAATTAACTTTGTGAAACGTTAATGAGGTATGTTATTTCACCTCATACGTGACATAACACGTCACCTATGATATATGGGTTGAGTAAACTAATTCGGGTCGGGTGGTCAGTGTCCTAGAAGTGTTGTATTAGGTCCGAGGAGCACATTCATTCAACCAAAATTATCATGGTTCACACTCTCTCAAGCACGAGGCTTGAAGGATCAAAATGCTTACTTTAAAACATCATGGTTTCATAATCTTTTTGTTGAACGGGAAATTCTTTCAGATAAGGAAACATTATATCATGTCAGTGAGGCTTGGAAGGGCGAGTCCCTTAAGCAAAGACTTGAAAGGCGGGTCCACCAAACGAGGTCTTGAAGGGTAAGTTTCTCAAGAAAATACTTGAAGGACGATCTCTCAAAAGAAGTATAAAGGTCTGGTGTTTGGATTTTCAAAAGCAAGTGGTCAATTTTATGTTGTGTGATGAAGTTGTGTTAGGAAGGCACAAACAACTTGGACTGTTGATGAATTTGAATGTCGAGGTCGTGAGTCATTGATATTTTGTCGCTTTAGGAGTAGGTGCATGCCTATTGTATGGCTATGACAATGACCTACTCGCCATAGATGCTTGGCTCTATAAATAGTTTAATTTCGTTTTCTCTCATATTTTATCCTCTATACATTTTCGGCGCTCTTTAAGAAATTGCTCCCAAGTTCATCTTAATCTTAACATCAACTCACATAGCTCATGTATTAAATCTAACCACCCCTTCTCTTATACCTTTCCTTTTTTTTGCAAATGGTAATCATTTGGGAGTTAGATGAAAACAACCATGTCATAGAACCTAGTAATCACGATGAAATTTTAGTATGTGGGGGCATTATGTAGAAAAGGATGAACAACCAAATGGGAAGGCTTATTACATACTTGTAGACGTATGAATATTTGGCAGCTACGATTCTACAAGTTTCGATTCTATTAGTCATAATGATACTTGAAATTCTGGCATGCAGATTTCAGATGTCCTAAGAACATTGATCTCTGCTGAAACAAGGACGAGCACAGATCATGAACAATTTAAATTTCTTTAAATTGTGCCAATGTCATGACCAACGTCATGACCAACGTCATGACCTATGTTGTGACATCTGCATACTGACAGACTATTTATCTAGACATTTAAATTGTGCATAATTGTAAATGTTGAAAGAAAAATAACACAGTAATTGTTTACCCAGTTCGGTGCAACATCACCTACATCTGGGGGCTACCAAGGCAGGGAGGAAATTCACTATTAGCAGAATCAATTCAAAGTCAAACAACCAGTTTGCACTTCTCAATTAATCTCTACCCAATGACACTTCAACCTAGTGACTTGATGACTTCCATATGCCACATCAGGATGCAATCGGCCAATGATCCACTCCAGTCTGGTATAATGTCTTCACATCATACTCCAAGACAGTCCTTTTACCTTATCATTCTCCCGTATGACAAGATAAAATACTTCTTAGTCAAGATGTGAATCACAAGTTTTGTACCAGATCTTCCAGTCCTTAACCAAGGGAACCAACCTATATCCACTGGTTCTTTACCTGCCCACAACTGGACTTACTTCAACTGAAGTTCTTCAAAGAACACAGGTCCACCAGCTTGATCAAATACATCTCCAGAAGAAGGTAATCTTCTATTCACAGCTTAGGGCTTCTACCACAAGCTCTAATATATGAACAGAACCAGATCCTCCTTTGGTCTTCAACCAACTACCCTTCTGCATAAGAGTAATTTGTTCCAAGCATGAACAGTCCCAGACCCTTCTGTGGTCTTCAAAATACTACCCTTCTGCACAAGAATAGTTTTCTAAAGGCACACTTCTTAAATAACCAAATGCCACTGTTTGGTTATTCAGCATCTTTCAGAGCTCTAGAATCTCTGCTACTCCACCAGACAACTTTGATCTTCAAGTCACAATTTCTACATGCTCTAAAGAAAGGCATCTACTCCTTCACACAACTCCCGCAAACTGCATGAGGTGAAGCATTAATTTCATTCATACCTGAGAAGATCAACTCATCTTTCATTAATGAAGGCCTTGAAGTTACTGCTTGATGTTACAACTTTGGTTAAGACATCTAGCTGGAGAGTTCAAGCTTTCATTCTTCCACTTAGAATAACCTCATCACTCAATCATAAAGAGCACAAAGACTTGAGTTTGAGTAGACAACCTCCATATTGCTTTATTGGACTACAACACATTGCTTGAAACGCATCTGCTTCATGAACTCCTCTTAAGAGAAACCAAACATGCCAAGGCTTGATTCTTTAATGAGGCAGGGTTACAAAATAAATCTTTACACAAGGATTCCCGCTTTCCTTAGGTAGAGACTTCTTTAGAAAGTCAGAAATACCTGCCACTTATCCTTGACCTCCAAGCTGAGCCAGATCTCATGCTCCTGTGCACTTAGATCAGAAATAAAATGACCCAAGCAGAGCTCTCAGCACCATTTTCTAGACCAGTTTCTTGCCAGGAAACATTCTAGATATGCTTCTAGTAGAGTCTAGAACACACTTGCTGCACTCCAATAAGCTGATTCAAGAGACCTGTCTTAATCTCCACTTCCATTAGCACTTCATTTTAGTCTTAGTTTCTTGCCAGGAAACTTACTAGAATAAAGTCAGATCCTACCACACATGCGTATGGTACCTGTGATTCACTCCTTGAATCAACAAAATTCTGCACAATCTCTGCTGATGGAATGTCTCAACATCTGGTTGAGCATCAGATTCTTGAAGTAGATCAGGGGTTTCTGCTTGTGCTGCTACTAATGAGATATCTTGATCATTGACTAAGGATAATTCATTAAATATTTGAGAAGATCTTAAATAACAATGGATATTAAATCCTTATAATCAATCCTTCTCTGAACTTCATGGATAACCAATTAAATACGTGTGTATCCCACAAATAAAAATTGATCTTAAATCCACCCAGCTTGTTGAGAAGACCATTTACACTTCAGCAATACCAAATGTATTCTTTAGTTGAAGGATCTTTACTGTTGAAATATCAAGGCTAACATCCTTGACTTAACCTGCCTATGACTTCCTCTGCTGATAGAATCCTTGCAAGTCATGAGTGGTGAAAATAAATCACCTCCCACTATCTTCTTTAGCACGGCTTCCAGCAATCTGCCACAACCATACATCACACTGTATATGAGCCAGTCTTCTCCCAGGGGCATCAGAGTTCTTTTATCAGAGAAATATGCAGCAGAACCACCAAAAGAACATGTCCTAAACAAGATGTCAGAACACCTTATAGGTCATCACACAGAGGTAGCCACTCCTCCTTTGGCAACCTTTCAGCAGATCATAGAAGCTCCTATATCAGTGGGCACAGCAGCAGATACACAGAATCCTTGGAAACCTCCTCCTAAACTCCATAAGCAGCAGCTCAAATGTTTAGAAAGATCAGCAACTCAGCTACAGCTTCTCCTTGTTTAAACCACCAGAAAGTATCTCCCAAGATCTCATCCAGAACAGAC